TCTAGACCTACTAGATCGAAAACATAGAACTACACAACATAGAAAATCACACCCTGACTCAACAAATAAGAGTCCCCAGAGTCAGTGCGTGACAGTACCCCCCCCCCCAAAGGTGCGGACTCCGGCCGCACAACATAAACATAACAGGGTAGGGGCCGGGTGGGCATTCCGCCTCGGAGGCGGATCCGGCTCAGGGCGTGACGACCTCTCACTCTTCGCCTCCCTGTTGCGCCCCTGGTCTGGTCTAGACCTCGGCGCGTTGCTTCCCCTCTCCTTCCTCCCACTATACTCCAAGCCCTGTCTGGACCCTGGTGTGGGAGACCCCGAACCTGGAGACGGGCTGACGTCTGGGCCTGGACTGGAGCCGCTGACCGGAGCTGGACCGGGCACCGGTGGAGCGGACTGCTCAGGCTCCGGACTGGAGCCGCTGACCGGAGCTGGACTTGGCCCCGGTGGAGCGGACTGCTCTGGCTCCGGAGTGGAGGCGCTGACCGGATCTGGACTAGAACCCGGTGGAGCGGACTGCTCTGGCTCCGGAGTGGAGCAGCTGACTGGAGCTGGATCAGGCACCGGTGGAGCGGACTGCTCTGGCTCCGGAGTGGAGCCGCTGACCGGAGCTGGACTAGACCCCGGTGAAGCGGACTGCTCTGGCTCCGGAGTGGAGCAGCTGACCGGTGCCGGACCAGGCACCGGTGGAACAGGCACGGGCCGTGCCGGACTGGACACACGCACCACTGGCTTGGTGCGAGGAGTAGGGACAGGCGGGACCGGGCTGGCGACGCGCACCACTGGCTTGGTGCGTGGAGCAGGAACGGGCCGTACTGGACTGGCGACGCGCACCACTGGCCTGGTGCGGGGAGCAGGAACAGGCCGGGCCGGGCTGGCGATGCGCACCACTGGCTTGGTGCGAGGGGCAGGAACAGGCCGGGCCGGGCTGGCGACGCGCACCACTGGCTTGGTGCGAGGGACAGGAACAGGCCGGACCGGGCTGGCGACGCACACCACTGGCTTGTTGCGAGGGGCAGGAACAGGCCGGGCTGGTGGCGCGCACCACTGGCTTGGTGCGAGGGTCAGGAACAGGCCGGACCGGGCTGGCGACGCGCACCACTGGCTTATTGCGAGGGGCAGGAACAGGCCCCAGAGTCAGGGCATGACAGCCATAGGTGAACCATTCTAACATGTGATGGTTGATTGTGTTGGACCATTACCAAAGACAAAATCTGGTAACCAGTTTCTGTTAACGATCATGTGTGTGGCCACCAGGTACCCAGAGGCCATTCCTCTGCTAATGATTACTGCTCCGGTGGTGAGTAAAGCTTTGATCAAATTATTCTCAACTTTTGGGTTACATAAGGTGGTACAAACTGATCAGGGTACGAATTTCCTTTCTAAGCTTTTCAAACAAGTGTTAAAATCCTTGTCAGTTAAACACCTTGTGTCAAGCGCATATCACCCAGAGTCTCAGGGTGCGCTTGAACGTTGGCATCAGACACTGAAGTCTATGCTCCGTAAATATTGTTTGGAATCTGAGAAGGATTGGGATGAAGGAGTTCCTCTAGTTTTGTTTGCTGTCCGTGAGACGGTACAGGAATCCCTAGGGTTCAGCCCAGCTGAACTGGTGTTTGGACACACCGTGAGAGGACCTATGAAAGTCCTTAAGGATCAGTTTTTATCACAAGAGTTGTGTGTGAAAGAAAATGTGTTGGACTACGTTAGTCACTTTCGTGAGCGCCTACATGGTGCCTGTGCTCTAGCAAAGGAAGCGCTGTCTTCCTCACAGAGACGTATGAAACGGCACTATGACAACCAGGCTGTTTCTCGTTCACAAACTGGAGGTAGATGCAAGTGCCAGAGGTGCTGGTGCTGTTCTACTGCAGCTGGACCAGAATGGAGTGGACCATCCTGTCTGTTATTTTTCGCGGAAATTTAACAAATGTCAAACTAACTATTCAACCATGGAACAAGAAGCCCTAGCTTTGTTAGCTCTGCAGTACTTCGAAGTCTATGTTGGTTCCAGTGCATTACCAGTGATAGTGTATACTGACCAGAACCCCTTAGTTTTTCTCCACTGAATGTACAACCAGAACCAATGCCTTACGCATTGGGCACTTGTTGTGCAAAATTATAATTTGGAGATCTGCCACAAAAAGGGTTCGGATAATGTGTTGGCAGATGCTTTGTCTCGTGTTTAGAGATCTAGGATTTTTTTTTATCCCTTCAGGATGCTTTTGATCTTAGAATTTGTGTGTGTTGTGATAGTATGTGTGTCGCAAACCATTGTGGTTTGCTCTTTTAAGTGTGGGAGTGTTACGGATACAGGTAACCTGTATGTGTTTTTCCTCTCCTTCTGCCCTAATCACAGGTGTCCTTTGTGTTCCTGATTGAAGGTCGCTGTTGTGTCCCACCTGTCAGTCATCAGTTATCTGCTGATTGCTGAGGTGGACCAATCAGTGGACATTTCTCCTGATTGCACCACCTGTTTCTGTTTTCTTACCCAATCATATCACACATCCCCTTGTTTTAAAAGCTAGTCAGTTGTGTTTGCTGACTGAGACTCTTTTTGTTTGTGAGTATGTATAGGGTGGTGTCTTGTTTTTGTGTACTCACTCGTTAACTGTTTAGTCCGTATGGTACCTATATTGTTTGTGCCTGGGAAAAGGGGAATTTAGCAAGTTGCCCTTGGGCATACACTACCCGTAGGAAAACCTTGTCTAAACACACTAGTTAGACCTGAGCGGACCACCCACTGTATTTTTGTATGGTTAGCAGTAAGCTTAGTAGTTCTTGAGGCAGGCAAGATCAGTTTAGGGTTTTTTGACTTTATTGTTTCATTCCTTGGGTCCAGCTCAGCCCCTTTTCCCCAAACCTTTACCGTGTGTTTTGTAATAAACATTTTGTGTTTGACAGTAGCTTATGGTTGTCGGTGTATTTTGTTCTAACTGTTCCTTGGCAATATTCTGATTCGCATGAGTTATGTTACGGGCCTCTTTTCCATCCACCCTAGACTTTTAAAGCCACAGGGTTCGTAACAGTACCGCTCTTCATATTTTCAAGCATGGTGGTGGCTGCGTCATGTTATGGGTATGCTTGTCATTGGCAGTTTTTTAGGATAAAGAGTAATGTAATAGAGCTAAGCACAGGAAATATCCTAGAGGAATACCTGCTTCAGTCTGTTTTCCAACAGATACTGGGAGACAAATTCACCTTTAAGCAAGGCAATAACCTAAAACACAAGGACTGGAGTTTCTTACCAAGACGACATTGAATGTTCAAGTGGCCTAGTTACAGTTTTGACTTAAATCGGCTTGAAAATCTATGGCAAGACTTGAAAATGTCTGTCTAGCAATGATCAACAACCAACTTGACAGAGCATGAAGAATTTAAAAAGAATAATGTGCAAATATTGTACAATCCAGGTGTGCAAAGCTCTTAGAGACTTACCCAGCAAGACTCACAGCTGTAATCGCTGCCAAAGGTGATTATAATATGTATTGACTCAGGGAGTTTAATACTTATCTAATCAAGATATATTAGTGTTTTATTTTTCATTAATTTTGTACAAATGTTAGAATTTTCTTCTACTTTGACATTACAGAGTATTTTGTGTAGATCGTTGACAATTAAATCCATTTCAATCCCACTTTGTAACTCAACAAAACATGGAAAAAGTCAAGGGGTGTGAATACTTTCTGAAGGCACTGTATCTAGTACCCACATTTGAAGGTGTCATAAGTATTTGGACAAATGTACTTACATTATAATGTATTTAAGTTAGTAATATTTTTAAAGTTTACGCATAAATATCATATTCCGCTTTCCTGTTAGTGGTAATGGTGAGAGGTTAGCATGTGTTGGGGGCATGATCTGTAACTTTGTCACTCATTATTATTCACGATTCATTCCTGATTATCTGTAATCATGGTAGCATTCACATTTTATTTTTATTTACAATAAAAGTGAATCCAAAATGACACAATAGGCCTACATTATTTACCATTCATTTATATTGGGCTCAACATAATCTGAAACACAACCAAAACAAACTGCAAATGCATACAACAAGTTTGTAGAGACAAGCTTGATGTAGTCATTGCATGCTAGGAATATGGGACCAAATACTAAACTTTTAACTAAATGTAATACACTATAAGCAAATTTGTCCAAATACTTATGACACCTTCAAATGGGGAGACTAGCTAGATACATAAAGCGCTTTCATTTCTAAATGGTACAACAGATAGCCTATATGAAAATACCCTCAAATAAAAGGTGACATTCTGTACTGTTGCCTCATATAAAACAGTTGATCTCAAATCCTAAAGTATAGAGACAAATTTAAAGTTTTAGCTTCACTGTCCAAATAAATACGTAGGGGGTGTGTATGTGAGTCAACAGAGTTTTGCATTTCTTACACATCAACCAACACATTTGTTTGGGTTGATGTCATAGTCCTCTGACTTCTTTAGAGAGGACGCAAAATATGGGTGGTTTTCGGTCCAGTGGGATTGGCCCTTAGGCTAGCCCTAGGCACTTCATACAGAACAGGATCAGATAAGCAATGTGGTAATAGCCTCGCTACCTTGCAATCTTTGTTGGAATTTTTGCCTCACCTCTCCAATCCATAGGGATGGGGCCAGGTTTGATACCAACAAGGCCAAGGCAAGCTTATGTCTGTTGCATTGAACACTTCGTTTGCCATCAGCAGAGGACAGTGATCATTCAATGTGTGCAATATAGCCATTTGCCATGACCATGTTTGATGTAAACACAATCCAGAGTCACATAAAAATAAAGAATAATCTCGATGCACAAGACAAATGATGTAGATTTCTTCATGATAATGGATAAATTTAAAGCCACTATAAAATTCAAAATAGTGTATCACTATCTCTTAAAATGCTCTAGTTTGTTTTACACATAAAAAAGGCATGATGCTGCATGAACCGAAACACGTTTTTGTTTCGACTATTTCCGCCTGATTCGACTATTTCCGCCACGAACTCCAGTCCCTCCATTTTGTTGTCGGAAAGAGAACGTTGCAGAAAACTGTGTCGTTTAGAAGGATTTTCTGGCAATGGACGGGTATGTGTAATCGGCCTTGTACGAAGCTTGTGTTTTTCTTGAATGAATGCATCATGCGCGGAAAGATATCGTTGATTAAAAGTAAAGTAACTAACCTCAGATCCTAGCTAGGGTTTGTTTTAGCTAGCTAGCGTTACCTTAGCTTGGCTAGCTACTAGTAGCTAACTCCTGGCTGAGCCCATGCCATGTCAGTGAACTGGGAGAGAGCGATGGCAAGTTAGATTTACCTATTTAGCTAATGTTAGCTACGTAAACAATATTTAGTTTTCGCAACTGTTTAGTAGCCTGCTAACTTACGTTAGGTAATACGTGGACTGGACAATGTATTATTCAGCTAACGTTAGTTAACTAGCTCTCTGGCTAATATTCCATGAGAGAGTGTGTCGTCGTCACTTGTCCGTTGATCATTCATTGAATCCTTTGTTGATCGGAAATCTAGCTAGCTAACGTTAGCTAGCTATCCACAATAAAATAGGAGTCATCAACACCGTTTAACAAAAAATAAGTCCTGGTTAAATTTAATTGCGATACAGGTTTCCCCTTTTTATATGTGGTCTAATAATCAACATGTGTAGCTATGTTGTAACTAGTTAACTATGGCCTGGTGGAAAGAGAAACGTTTGGTTTTCTTTTTGCAGGTAGCCACGCCACTAGCCAGCTAAATCGCGCGTCTTACCATGGGTAGCTAGCTGGCTAGCGTTAGCTAACTTCCTTAGCTAGCAAGCTCGAATGTAACTTACTTGAACCTAACGTTACTACTAACGTTAGCTACCTGGGTGACTGTGCTGCACATAAAGTATCTGCTAATAACGTTACCGTTACTAGGTAGCTGGTAAGCTACCTTCTCTATCCCGTGAGTTAACTATGTACTAGCTAGTTGAACTAGCTAGCTAGAAAAGCAGCATGCTCTGTATTGTGGAAAGATTAAGCTTAGCTAATCATTATGTTCCCCCTCTTTTTCAGTATTGGAGATGTTGCAGTTGGCGTAAAGGTAAGCCTCAGTCCAGTGCCCTCTCTATGGCAAAGGTTATAGATGCTTGGAAACCACATCTAAAATTCTCTCTCATTGCTATGGCAATGCAAAAACCTTTTTTCTTAACCAGTTGATATATATAATTTTTTTAAAAAATCTTTATTTAACTAGGTAGGCCAGTTGAGAACAAGTTCTCATTTACAACTGCGACCTGGCCAAGATAAAGCAGTGCGGTAAAAACAACAACAACACAGAGTTACATTTACATTATGTCATTTAGAAGACACTCTTATCCAGAGTGACTTACAAATTGGTGCATTCACCTTATAGCCAGAGGGATAACCTCATTACAATATGTTTTTTTTCTTTGGGGTGGGCTAATGGGGGGTAGAAGGATTACTTTATCCCATCCCAGGTATTCCTTAAAGAGGTGGGGTTTCAAGTGTCTCCGGAAGATGGTGAGTGACTCCGCTGTCCTGGCGTCGTGAGGGAGCTTGTTCCACCATTGGGGTGCCAGAGCAGCGAACAGTTTTGACTGGGCTGAGCGGGAACTGTGCTTCCGCAGAGGTAGGGGGGCCAGCAGGCCAGAGGTGGATGAACGCAATGCCCTCGTTTGGGTGTAGGGACTGATCAGAGCCTGAAGGTATGGAGGTGCCGTTCCCCTCACAGCTCCGTAGGCAAGCACCATGGTCTTGTAGCAGATGCGAGCTTCAACTGGAAGCCAGTGGAGTGTGCGGAGGAGCGGGGTGACGTGAGAGAACTTGGGAAGGTTGAACACCAGACGGGCTGCGGCATTCTGGATGAGTTGTAGGGGTTTAATGGCACAGGCAGGGAGCCCAGCCAACAGCGAGTTGCAGTAATCCAGACGGGAGATGACAAGTGCCTGGATTAGGACCTGTGCCGCTTCCTGTGTAAGGCAGGGTCGTACTCTCCGAATGTTGTAGAGCATGAACCTACAGGATCGGGTCACCACCTTGATGTTAGCGGAGAACGACAGGGTGTTGTTCAGGGTCACACCAAGGCTCTTTGCACTCTGGGAGGAGGACACAACAGAGTTGTCAACCGTGATGGCAAGATCATGGAACGGGCAGTCCTTCCCCGGGAGGAAGAGCAGCTCCGTCTTGCAGAGGTTCAGCTTGAGGTGGTGATCCGTCATCCACACTGATATGTCTGCCAGACATGCAGAGATGCGATTCGCCACCTGGTTATCAGAAGGGGGAAAGGAGAAGATTAGTTGTGTGTCGTCTGCGTAGCAATGATAGGAGAGGCCATGTGAGGATATGACAGAGCCAAGTGACTTGGTGTATAGCGAGAATAGGAGAGGGCCTAGAACTGAGCCCTGGGGGACACCAGTGGTGAGAGCACGTGGTGCGGAGACAGATTCTCGCCACGCCACTTGGTAGGAGCGACCTGTCAGGTAGGACGCAATCCAAGAGTGAGCCGCGCCGGAGATGCCCAACTCGGAGAGGGTGGAGAGGAGGATCTGATGGTTCACAGTATCAAAGGCAGCAGACAGGTCTAGAAGGACAAGAGCAGAGGAGAGAGAGTTAGCTTTAGCAGTGCGGAGAGCCTCCGTGACACAGAGAAGAGCAGTCTCAGTTTAATGACCAGTCTTGAACCTGACTGGTTTGGATCAAGAAGGTAATTCTGAGAGAGATAGCAAGAGAGTTGGCTAAAGACGGCACGCTCAAGAGTTTTGGAGAGAAAAGAAAGAAGGGATACTGGTCTGTAGTTGTTGACATCGGAGGGATCGAGTGTAGGTTTTTTGAGAAGGGGTGCAACTCTCGCTCTCTTGAAGACGGAAGGGACATAGCCAGCGGTCAAGGATGAGTTGATGAGCGAGGTGAGGTAAGGGAGAAGGTCACCGGAAATGGTCTGGAGAAGAGAGGAGGGGATAGGGTCAAGCGGGCAGGTTGTTGGGCGGCCGGCCGTCACAAGTCGCAAGATTTCATCTGGAGAGAGAGGGGAGAAATAAGTCAAAGCATAGGGTAGGGCAGTGTGAGCAGGACCAGCAGTGTCATATGACTTAACAAACGAGGATCGGATGTCGTCAACCTTCTTTTCAAAATGGTTGATGAAGTCATCCACGGGGAGGGGGAGGAGGATTCAGCAGGGAGGAGAAGGTGGCAAAGAGCTTCCTAGGGTTAGAGGCAGATGCTTGGAATTTAGAGTGGAATAAACCAAACTTACAGTCAATAACACAATAGATGATCTATATACAGTGTGTGCAAATGTAGTAAGTTATGGAGGTAAGGCAATAAATAGGCCATAGTGCAAAATAATTACAATTATATTTTAGTATGAACAATGGAGTGATAGATGTGCAGAAGATGATGTGCAAATAGAGATACTGGGGTGCAAATGAGCAAAATAAATAACAATGTAAATAACAATATGAGGATGAGTTAGTTGGGTGGGCTAATTTCAGATGGGCTGTGTACAGGTGCAGTGAGTGGTAAGCTGCTCTGACAACTGATGCTTTAAGATAGTGAGGGAGATAAGTGTCTCCAACTTCAGATATTTTTGCAGTTCTTTCCAGTCATTTGTAGCAGAGAACTGGAAGGAATGGCGGCCAAAGGAGGTGTTGGCTTTGGGGATGACCAGTGAGATATACCTGCTGGAACGCATACTACGGGTGGGTGTTGCTATGGTGACCAATGAGCTAAGATAAGGCAGGGATTTTCCTAGAAGTGATTTATAGATGACCTGGAGCCAGTGGGTTTGGCGACGAGTATATAGTGAGGGCCAGCCAACGAGAGCGTACAGGTCACAATGGTGGGTAGTATATGGGGTTTTGGTGACAAAACGGATGGCACTGTGATAGACTACATCCAATTTGCTGAGTAGAGTGTTGGAAGCTATTTTGTAAATGACATCGCCAAAGTCAAGGATCGGTAGGATAGTCAGTTTTACGAGGGCATGTTTAGCAGCATGCGTGAAGGAGGCTTTGTTGCGAAATAGGAAGCCAATTCTAGATTTAACTTTGGATTGGAGATGCTTAATGTGAGTCTGGAAGGAGAGTTTACGGTCTAACCAGACACCTAGGTATTTGTAGTTGTCCATATATTCTAAGTCAGACCCGTCGAGTAGTGATTCTAGTCGGGCAGGCGGGTGCAAGCAGCGTTCGATTGAAGAGCATGCATTTAGTTTTACTAGCGTTTAAGAGCAGTTGGAGGCCACGGAAGGAGTGTTGTATGGCATTGAAGCTCGTTTGGAGTTTAACAGTGTCCAATGAAGGGCCAGATGTATACAAAATGGTGTCGTCTGCGTAGAGGTGGATCTGAGAGTCACCAGCAGCAAGAGCGACATCATTGATATACACAGAGAATAGAGTCGGCCCGAGAATTGAACCCCGTGGCACCCCCATAGAGCCTGCTAGAGGTCCAGACAACAGGCCCTCCGATTTGACACATTTAACTCTATCTGAGAAGTAGTTGGTGAACCAGGCGAGGCAGTCATTTGACCCATTGGTATTCCTGCCAATAAGAATGCGGTGATTGACAGAGTCAAAAGCCTTGGCCAGGTCAATGAAGACGGCTGCACAGTACTGTCTTTTATCAATCGCGGTTATTATTCAGGATTTAGTTAGCCTAATGACTCCATTCTGTTTTTAGACCCCTATATATATTTTTATTTTGCCTTTATTTAAGTCAGTTAAGAACAAATTATTATTTACAATGACGGCCAAACCCGGACAACACTGGGCCAATTGTGCGCTGCTCTATGGGGCTCCCAATCACGTCCGTTTGTGATACAGCCTGGAATTGAACCAGGGGGTCTGTAGTGACGACTCAAGCACTGAGATGCAGTGCCTTAGACCACTGCGCCACTCGGGAGCCCAATAATTATACTTTATGGGAAGATACCTAACCCTCCCATTTACAACAATTAATAAAAACAAAAGTAGTTCTTTGTGTACACTGCACAGCTTTTCAAGTCAGAATCTGTGCATACCAGTATGAGCACAGAATCTTAAATTTAGCCTACTATTGTTGAGAGAGCATGTAGTATCGGGTCAAAAAGATTAGGCTACATTTCAAATCATCATTTCTAGCTTTCATGATATTAGAACAACAGTAATCAAATAGGAACAACTTATGTCCATTCTGGTTAGGGAGAAAGGTGTTCTCTTTTATTAAATGCATTCTGATCCTGTACCCTCCTAACCCAGTTTGTCCAACAACCGCAGTTCCGTCTGGTGCAAAACGGTACACTCCGTCTGGTGCAAAACAAAGTTAACTCTTCCTCTTAAAGACAAACAGTCCTTTGATAGTATTATTGGGCTTTGCCTCTGTGTTTTTCATCAATATTTAATGTCCAAAAGAAAGTTTGCTTTGAGAAACATTCCTTACAGTTTCATTCCCAGTCCTGGTGTGAGTTAGGCATAGTTGTCACTTTTTAAGTCAAAGACAACTTTATTACCTGGAATTTATTTGTGGACTCTGGCCCTACGGGAGCACTCCATATCTAATTTATCACATCTATAAAAAAATGTTGGTGATAAAGAACATTTTGTGCAAATTCACTCGCAGACAAAAGAGAAAAAGCCTAAGACCCAGGCCTATTCTATAGTTGGGTCTGTAATGGCTCCAGGCCTCGCTGTCCCATCTGTCAGTTTTAGCGGTGCTCGGAGTGCGTCAGCCACCAACTGCAGCCCAGCGGACAGAGGACAGCTCCGAGCCGTCGGGGAGCGCTGGGGAGCTCCAGATGAAATGACATGTCTGATATCTTGAGACTCCATGAGATTAAACCGACTGACACTAGAAACAAATAAAATGAGAGTCGACTCTTGGTGTTATGCCCCCCCTCCGTTTCCTCAAACTGTCCAGAGAGAGATCTATTTCATTGTGGTCTTTCAGGGGCTCTGCTCACTGCAAATGGATGTTGTCTCTTCATGGAGAGCCATGCCTTTATTTCACTTTCACACTTTCTCGCTCTCTGTTTTCTTTCTTTCTCCAGAGAGGATCAGATGAGCTGCTGTCAAACAGCCTCTACAACAGTGGCTCTGATATGAGCAGTATCAGTGGTAAGTTTGTGTGGCCCCCTTTTTGTTCTTAAAAAAAAAAAGAAGGAAATTGCATCAGTCATTTGATCGGCGTCCAACGGCATTAAAATAAATCAAGGATTAATGAATGTTTGATGGTAGAACGGCTGTATTAGTGGATGTCTTCCTCACGGGAGGTGTTTCAGTATCTGAATAACCCTGTGCTCTTCTGTAGGTGGGCACCCACACACGCTTGCATGTGACTGGAATAAAGATGCTGCGTGCTGTGCATTTCAATAGGCTATATCTCTTCAGAACATGGCTGTAATGCCATAAAGATATAATATAGTAGCCTGTGAAACCTACTGTATTGCACCCTTTATTCTTAATTTTCTTTTCCATAGGTCCAAATCCATATCTTGAAATCCTCAACATATATTGCATTCAGATCCAAAATAGAATATTATAGCCTAATTATGTAAATGATTGTACAAGAGACAGAAAAACGTACACTGAAGTTCAATCATGACGTTTCTTCTAGTATTGTTGTTCATTCTGTGCGCCTCAAGTTGTTTGTGTGCTTTCTGGTGGGCAGATTGAGAGCAGAGCAGGAGACTAATTTACATTGTGACAAATGGACAATAGAAGTTGTATTTTCTTCAATCTAGATGGTACATCCAATGGGAGTGATAGTAAAAAACTGAGAGTGGAAGACAGGATGGAGGCTCCTCCCTCTCGTGTGCTGCACATCAGAAAACTGCCCAACGAAACTTCAGAAACGGAGGTCATTGCCCTAGGGTTACCTTTCGGGAAGGTCACCAATATCCTGACGCTGAAGGGAAAAAACCAGGTGAGTGGGCCCAGAATAATCCGGCAGCCATTTTAGATTTTGTTTGCTGCCGGGTCCTGCCAAATGTCTATTTTTCAATGAGTGGTCAGTGGGAGATGTTTGGCTTTTGCCCCTTAGATTCCTTTCTTGTGCGACCTCTTTGTCTGATTACTAATTGCCTGTGTTTGTTTTAACCCATTGGTATTCCTTCTCAAAATTGCCACAAGGATTTGAAAACATTGGCTGTGTTTGTCTGAAATTAATTTCATGGTCACATTGTTGAAGGTTTCATGAAGTGAATTGCTATGTTTCCTTGGATTGTGTCCCTGTATATTCTCTTATAATACAGAAATTATAATGTTCAGTTTAATTGAATTGAACGGTATCATTTCTGTATCATAAGACTCCATAGAATACCATTGGGTATATATCCTAACAGAAAACTCTAAATTCTCTTTTTGTCCATTGGTCCTCAGGCTTTCTTGGAGCTGGGGACAGAGGAAGCGGCAATTACTATGGTCAACTACTACTCCACTGTGACACCTCATGTTCGAAACGTCCCCGTATTCATCCAGTACTCCAACCACAAAGAACTCAAAACAGATGCCGGAAACCAGCGGGCCCAGGCGGTCCTGCAGGCGGTGTCAGCGGTCCAAGGGGGAGGTACCCCTACATCAGGTTCAGATCTGGCAGCTGCATCCAGCCCTGTGCTCAGAATAATCATTGACAACATGTTCTACCCAGTTACTCTGGATGTGCTGCAGCAGGTACCCTCACTACTACATATTTTTGTGTCGGAGAGCAGATTTATAAATGCAATATACATTTTGTACGTAATTGACCACTACCTCTTCTGCCCTTATCTCGTTAGGGAAAGTAGGGTGTGTTCTTTTTGTGGTTTAATATTACGTCTGATAGTTAAACATCAGCTACATTTGTTGAGGTTGTATTTTAAACACATTTCCTGTATTTTCCGTCTGTTAGATCTTCTCAAAGTTCGGCACGGTCATGAAGATAATCACATTCACTAAGAACAATCAGTTCCAGGCCCTGCTGCAGTTCAACGACCCGTCTACCGCACAGCAAGCCAAAATTGTGAGTAGTCCTAATGATGATGATAAATACATAGGTCTGGTATAGCGTTTTTCTAAGAACCATAGAGTAAGAGAGACTCTGATACCCCTTGCAGACCTCTCATAGCGCCTCAAGAGTTCATAATTACATTTTAGTCATTTAGCAGGCGCTCTTATCCACAACCCTGGCGTTGCAAGCGCCGTGCTCTACCAACTGGGCCACACAGGACCGTGTAATTAACTGAGTTGTACGATTTCATTACTCGTTGGTGTATTTGTACACTTCTCACTGTTTTTATTGTGAGAGCACTGCTGAGTAAGGTTTCCACGTGCAAATAAACCTGAAACCTGTTTCCATTCTTACTCAGGCCCTGGATGGTCAGAACATCTACAACTCGTGCTGTACGCTCCGCATCGATTACTCCAAGCTGGTCAACCTGAACGTCAAGTACAACAACGACAAGAGCCGTGACTACACCCGGCCAGAGCTCCCTGCCGGGGATGGACAGCCCGCCATGGACCCCAACATGGCTGCAGCCTTCCAAGGCAAGGACTCCAACTCTCTGCTTGGTAAGATCCCAGGTAGATCCCTCTCTTTTCCTCTTTCTCTTTCCTCTTCATGTCTTCTTTGGGGCTCTTGAGGTTGGGAGGTGTTGGAAGCTCCACACTGGTTTAGGGACTAGCTCTGCTTTCTATATCTCTGGTGCTGTGGGGTCTATCTGTCTATCTCTGCTCATGTCTGTCAACATCATCCATCACCAATGTCCAGTACGGTTGGGCGGTATCCAGGTTTTCATACCGTTTCTGTATCCGGTATTACCGAAATTGCACACAAGGGGCACTATTTTGATTCTTCTTTTTTTAACGTACAAAACAATTTAAGCAACTGAGATCTTGCTCTGGGAGGGGGGGATTGAATGTCTCTGCTGTAACGAAGAAGCTTGATCTTGACATCTATCCACTTTGCTAGCAAGTTAGCGAACCAAATGCATAGCTGGAGACCTGAGCTGGATGTAATTTATTTGACACATCTTAGATTTCTTATAGTTATACTTAACTTATAGTTATAAGCAGTGGCGTAGCAAGCATTGAAAATCATTTTAAAAAAACAACCTTTTTGTCATTTAGTAGATGCTCTTATCCAGCGCGACTTTCAGTAGTGAGTGCATACATTTTCGTACTCGTCCCCCGTGGGAATCGAACTCACAACCCTGGCATTGCAAGCGCCATGCTCTACCAACTGAGCTACACGGGACGTCTGGGACGTCTTTATTTCGAAATTACACGGTATATCGCCCAAGCCTGATGTCAGGTGGAGTCACTATTTCTGGACTGGCTATACCTGTCTGCCAGGGAAAGTACATTTGTTTTACCTCAACCGGGGCTCTGGGTGGGTGGGGTTTGCACATTTTAGACTATTCTATTGGTCCTAAAGTGAAATCTCCGCCCACACTGGGCCCCAGGTGAGCCAAATGCACCCTCAGGCTCTTGTTGGGTCAAAGTCCTGATCCCTCTTACCCAGTTGTCGCCAACAGGTCGACCGCAAGCTAACAGTAGCTCGCCTTGCCATTCACATGTTCCGCCGCAAACTGTCACAAACAAAACAGACACCGCAAGCTCCCAGCTACTATCTAATCAACGCAACATTGACATTATCCCACCCTAGTTAGGGTTAGCTTTTTAAGCCAATAGTGGCTAACACAATATTTGCAATATTGCCCATGGCTGTCTGTGATGTGTGCGTGAAGCCAGTTGATGTGATAACTGTCTTGTGGGTTGACAGATATTTTCCTCAACCTTCTCAATTAACAGTTAACTGCAAAGTAGGCTTACCTGGCAGAAGTATATCATGAGTAAGTATATAATTTGTATCTGTTATTTGCGGACTTTGCCATGAAATTTATGGGCTCCCGAGTGACGCATCGGTCTAAGGCACTGCATCTCAGTGCTTGAGGCGTCACTACAGACCCCCTGGTTCGATTCCAGGCTGTATCACAACCGGCCGTGATTGGGAGTCTCATAGGGCGGCGCACAATTGGCCCAGCGTCGTCCGGGTTTGGCCGGTGTAGGCCGTCCATTGTATATAAGAATTTGTTCTTAACTGACTTGCCTAGTTAAATAAAGGTAAAATAAATAAATAAAATGAGCAGCGGCAGTGCAGAACCATCACCATACCTGCACGTCGGCACATTCCTCACTCAATAGATACGCAATTAAAGGACCAGATGCGCTATTAAAGGGGAATTGCACAAAATATATTTTTATTTTATTTTCTTCCAGACCCTAAGAAAAGGTCTTCTGATGTGATTTAAGCTTTGACATGGACGCAGAACATCCAATTTCGTCTTAAAAATCACAGATTATATAGGGTCCCCCCTAGAGTTGTTTATGAATCATTATTTTACCAGGTATATTGACAGAACATAGTGCACTACTTTCTCTTGTACACTAAGGACAACGGGGAAGAGTTGCAGGGGAGAGAAGAGAATAATGTGCCTATTTGAAAGCTAGAAAATAAATGTAAAAAAAAAAAAAAAAAGTAACTCTCATGCTAGAAAAGGTTGGAGAACCCTGCTCTAACCTCTGACCTCTCTCCAGGTGCCCTGAGCCCGCTGAATGCTGCGGCTGCGGCGGCTGCTGCTGCAGGGAGGGTGGCTCTGTCTGGTCACTCTGGCTCCAGCGGCGTGCTCCTGGCCTCCAACCTCAACGAAGAGGTCAGTACTGTTCTACCTACCTACCCCCTCCAAATGTAGCCCTAACCACTCTCACACACCTAACACGCATTCTCTTGTTTCTATTGTCTATTTCTCTCTCTCTCGTCCTCTTTCTCCTTCTCTCGTTCTTTCTCTTTCCCTCGCTCTCTGTCTGTCTCTCCATGATGTCTAAGTCTGCCAGTGCAGACTGAATCCCTCACTCTCATTAAAGATGGAAAAAAGGGACTGTTTTCTATCTAAGCTTTCCTCTCTGGCTCATATGATGACTTGGTATTGTCTGAATCCCTCTCTCACTGCTATTCTCTCTCCTTTCTCATTTTGCCATACTGAACTGAAACGTAACCATCTCTTTCCTCTCTGCGCTCTCCTCTCCTGACTTGCTCTCTCTGTCTGCCTGTCTCTTATGAAATCTCTATGGAGAGGACTTCATATTTCAGATACTATGATTCTGTTATTACTTTTGCCCCCCCCCCCCCACACTCTCAACATGTATGTATGTATGTATATCTGTGGGATCAAACATGATCTGTGAATGCCATAACTATATATCAGGTGGTTTCATGTATGTTGCTGCAAGATTTGAGTGCATGGTCTTTGGGCAAATTTTATTCACTTCATACTCTTTAACTCACTTCAGCTGAAATCTCCTGGGCCCAGTTAAAAATAAAAAGAGTTATCCATCTGGATTTCGCCTATCGGATAGGATTAAATGCATAGAAATAGAACATACCAATTATTGACTTGAATGGGAACTCCCGTTATATTAATTATATTTCTATGCATTTAATCCTATCCGTATAGTTACAAAAAAACCTGGCCCTGAACTTCAAGCTCTAGCCTACTGCATGTCCTTTGTTTCTTCATTGCGAGGCTATTACTCCTATGATTATGGTGTGATTATGATTTGACATTGAATGTACCTTACCCATGTTTGTCCAGGGGGTGATTACATTTGGCACAATTTATTTGCTTGTTTAGTTCTGACTAAGTACATGAACCGGCCATTCTCTGACCAAACTCCTGCATTTCCAGTGTACTGACCTGTATTTTTATTTTTGTCCCCCTCCCTCACTTTGTTTTAACATTTGCATTTGCTCCTCCTCCCTCCCACCTCTCTCTCTCCCATATCCCTCCCTCTCTCATCCCTCTCTCCCCCATCTATTCCCCTTGCTTCATCCATCCCTGTAACCCCACTGTTCATGCTTGGTGCTTGAACAAAACCAACCCGTTCCCTTGGACCAACCTTATCCCCAAATTAACTGAACCATACTCCATGACCACCTTCACCATTCTACGGGAAACCACCCTCCTCCGTTATGGATGATCTGTCCATCTCCGCTACGCTCTCTACCTCCGCTCCGACTCTTCTACCTCTCTACCTGTCTTCCGCTGCTTGCTCTTCTCTCCTTCTAAAGATGGTTACGCCCCAAAGTCTGTTTACCCTCTTCGGTATGTTATTGTTAGCTCTCTACCGCTCTGTTATTTTGTTGTTGCTTATTTCTGTTAGACGTTTTGTTCATTTCCTTATACTGTAACTGTTTTGGCTTGTAGTATTTAGGAATAGGGTCTTCTGTTACATTGGTTTGGTTCTCTCTCTCAATCTCTCATTTTGGCTATTGAAATTGATCCATTCATAGATTTGTTCAAATGCATGCTAAATTGATTTGGCATGTACAGTAGTTTGATTTGCTAAACATCTCACAGAGCTTGTTAACTTCTCTATTTGAAAGTGTCTCCGTCTGACCTTTACATATACACACACACCTCTTCATTTAATTCTGATGAATGAGCTCTAGCCTCCTACTGTCTCTATCTAGCCTCCTACTCTGTCTCTATCTAGCCTCCTACTCTGTCTCTATCTAGCCTCCTACTCTGTCTCTATCTAGCCTCCTACTCTGTCTCTATCTAGCCTCCTACTCTGTCTCTATCTAGCCTCCTACTCTGTCTCTATCTCCAGCGCTAACCGTTTTCCTCACTGTCTCCTCTTCCTCCTCGCCCTCCTCTCGTCTGCTCATGGCTTTAACACAGGGGTTTATGGGGACACCCAGAGGGTGAAGATTCTTTACAATAAGAAGGACAGTGCTCTGATACAGATGGCTGATGCCAGTCAAGCCCAGCTAGGTAAGATGCTCCTCCTCCATTCTCCTCCATTTCCCCAACTGTCAACTCTCATGTTAACCGGCTGATTAAAAAGGCCACATGGACAGGATTTAAAATATTTCCTCTCGTCTTATTCAGTGTCCCATCTTCTCAAGTGGCAAATAATATATTTTTTCTAGATGTAATCTGGATAAATAAATGTAAAATTGGACAGGATAAACGTTGTTGTCCTCACAGGGGGAATTGTCTTGGGACACAGTACTGCTGGATAAAACAATGCACACTCAATACAAATCAAATCTGCTTCCAGCAATGAGTCACCTGAATGGTCAGAAGATGTATGGGAAGGTCATCAGGGTGGCTCTGTCCAAACACACCTCAGTGCAGCTGCCCAGGGATGGACTGGATGACCAGGGCCTCACCAAGGACTTCACCAACTCCCCCCTGCACCGCTTCAAGAAGCCCGGCTCCAAGAACTTTCAGAACATCTTCCCTCCCTCCACCACCCTCCACCTCTCCAACATCCCGTAAGTCTAAGTCATGGCCCCTAGACTAGAAACTCAGTTTTGTGTGTATTAGCTCATAATGGTTATTGTTAGGATTTGGACATGGTAAGCAGATCCTGTGTCTGTTAGTTTAGCCCCCTTGACACTGATCCAAGGTCAGTTTTGAACTTTCTCACTCAACGGTAAGGTTTGGATTTGGATAGGGTAATCTGATCCCAGATCTGTGCTAACTAAGGGCAACGTCTATACCTGGAAAGAAAGTAAAGGGAACCCTATGGTCTGGGTTGTCTCTGTCTTTTGTTGGAATGCTAAGTTCACGTGTTGTTTTGACAGAACGGATGTAACCGAAGAAGACCTGAGACTACTGTTCTCCAACGCCGGAGGCACTGTGAACGCATTCAAGTTTTTCCAGTAAGTATTTTTTTTCTTTACCGCTATAATAACGTGACTGAGCTACAGTTGTTCTTGATTTGGTTGTGAATTAATTAATTCAGCTCTGTGGCTAGCTCCAGGGGTGCTACACTATGACTGACCCTGTGTAACTCAAATATGTGCATGTTTGTGCGTTCTGTGGGCTGTTGAGAGCAGAAGAATATCCAAATCTGATGTAACCATTGGACAAATAAAGGTGTATTGCAATGTGTTCAACCATCTTGTCTTCTTCCCAGGGATCACAAAATGGCGCTGCTCCAGATGTCGACGGTGGAAGAGGCCATCCAGGGTCTGATTGACCTCCACAACTACAACATGGGGGACAACCACCACCTGAGAGTGTCCTTTTCCAAATCTTCCATCTAAACCTGCATAATGATCCTCCACAACATCCATCGCTTTCTGTTTCCAAACCGGCTTTTGGCTGCCGTTCGTTAATCCTGTTCACTCTTTCCGGACTCTGGGGGACCACATTTGGACCTTGTTGTATTTCTTTCAATTTTTTTCTTTCTAAGTGTTATCAGTCATTCCTTCAGAGAGAACCAGAAACTAAAACATAAAAAAAAATGTTGTACTTGTATGTTTTGAGGACATTTGACCCCCTTCACCTGACCCTTGTGTAAGTCCCATATCCCATTTGTATGATAGGCAAACCATTTTCCTTTTCCATCTTTTTATTATGAAGGGTGGATGAATGGACTTTGGCGTATCTTTTATTATGATTTAGTTACATAAGATATGTGCCTTACCTGACAATATCAACTCTTTTTACATTCAAATACTTACATGAATCGTTGCGGTCAGATTTTGAGGCACATTAATTTTGATGTGTAAAATTTTGTTAAAACATGATTTCTCTGTTCTCCAATGTGACTGTGCAGTTTTGAAGTTCTGCCACCCAAGAAGCTTCGCCTTTTCAGTTGCAGGTGTTGAATTTGTGTAGGTTTTTATTTTATTTCATTAAAGTCACTATGGTTGTTGTGGAGTGGGGAACAATATGAGATTGAAGTTGAATCCGTCTTTTTACAACCCTTTTTGCGCTAACTTGGACCACCATGCTTGAGAAGGTTTCTTGCAAACAGACAACCAACAATGCAGATTTAATCCTAGTGTCCACCTGTATGATCATTTTAACACTTTTTGTTGTTTTTTTGTTTGTGTCCATAAGTCATCCATTTACGAAAATAGTAAATGTTGCTGTTCTTTATAGGTGTTTGTTTTCCTTACCTCCTTTTTATTGCGATTTATTGATGTACATGGGTAGAAGTTGAGTGGTTTCCTAAGCATGTACTGCCTGGTCTAGTTATTGGAATTAAAAGTTGGTAGTACTTTATTCATTTGAACTGTACTTCATAACTGTCATTGTCCTACATATGACAAAACGAATGTCATGACAATATTATGACATAGTTCAAATAAAGTGTTACAAAAAATCTGCTGTTGCATGCATTGGAAGAGGCTAATAGAAGAGAACCTGTAGTGACGTCAACGTGTTGCAGTTTACTGAAGGAGGTTGGGACCAAAGTGTATGTGCCTTTAGTTTTGATTTACATTGTCAAGGAAAGGAACAATATTTTAGTGAACCTCTGATATATTTTGTATATCTGAACAAATAAGATCCAGGACCTGATTCAGAATCGACATTAATTCCTTCTATGGTTATTTTAGGCTGATATACATGTAATACCCACAATTGTTTGAAGAATCCCACAACCTCAACTTTCTAGAAAATGAGATTCATGTATATTTTCTATCAGTTTAATTTTTACATCTCTAGAAATGTAAGACTCAGATATAGTTTGGAAGCAGCAAAATTAAAATAATTTTCTAACAAAGTCGGGAGATTTGGTCTGACTTAGTTGTGTTTTGGAATTTATTTTCTTTCTATCTTCTCTCGTGTGTACTTTGCTTTACCTGTGTAGCATGCTCAATAAACTCTTCTGTAGCTCTGTATTCACCTCTTCTGTCTCTGTCAGCAGCTTGCTCATCTTTCTTCTCTGGTCTCATTTCAGAGTTTCTGATATCAGGTATGTTCTGTCCCAGGGTGGGAAAGGAAAGGCACCAAAACAAATGGGGATACTAAAGCTCAAAATAGGCCTAATTCAATTATCTGAACAAAATAAATTAACAATTTGAAGTTTAGTAAAGATTTTCCCACCCTGTTAAAATCTTGCTTCTGACAGATTAAGCCCTCAGGTTTTGAACTTGTTCGGTCTCCTCTTCCTGTAGCTCTATTATACTAACCGTTCTCTGGGACTCTCACACTGTTTCAAATCCATATCTACTCTTCTCTGTATGCTCTGTAGGGGCATATGTCACTACATGCTCATAACCACTGGAATTAGCTGCATATCCCACCAATCCAATGCCACCATTTTATCTAGACCTTATGCTCCAACTAACATGCTATGTGTGGGTAGACTAATCTGTATCATTTACTACCATCTCTATGGAGTAATCTGTAATATCACAGCATTCTGAGACCATAGGGGGAAAAAGCATGTCTAACATCCATTGACCAATAACTCATGTTTCTGGTCACAAAATGTTTTAATGTCTAGTCTATGGCAGTCTGTTTATTATTGTCTCATCGCATTTCTGTACTTGACCAGTGGCTGCCATGCTTGCAGGGCCGTTATTGAGTCAGTTCATCGACATGGGCTGTACAATGATGGAAGCCCTGTCTGTGACTGTGATGAAGACGATTCTCCAGCCCTGCTCTGGAGTTGATATGCTGGCCGGTGTGATTCATCATGACCTAGTCCTAGATTGACTACCACCATACCACTACTCCCAGTCCACGCTGCTGTTATTTTGCACACTTAAATGAAAGCGCTTGTGTTCTCCATCTACCTTTATAAACAGAAAAGACATGATAAATCAGCGAGCGGACGACCCAGACCGAGTCAATAGCTCGTCTAGCCCCAATGCATCATGAGACATCTGTATCCACTCTCCATCACCCAGTCAACAAGATGGGAGCTGTTCTATTTTTTTCTGTTTGTCTTTATTTTTTTCCTGAAAGGTGTGGCGAAGAAGTTCTTGTTGGAGTTGAAGACATTGTCACTCTGTCCTGTGCAAGTTCCAATTATGTCAAAATGTTTCCGTTGTCTTGTCAGTAAAGCTCAATTTCTTGTGATTTTGTAATATTTTGCTTTTAAAAAAGCAACTATTTGAAAAGTACTTTCCTGGGAATTTCATCAGATTCCATTTGAATGGAATTGATATGTCAGATTCTATCTTTGGACTATATTTATATTTACATTTCTTGTCATTTAGCAGACACTTTTATCTATATTGAGAGCCAGACTGGACTCAACTGAGACGTTTGCTATTTTATGTTCATTGTTGTACCTCCATTAAGTATATGGTATGCTACATTACAAATGGAATAATGGTCTGGTTACTTAAGACAGAAACGAAAGTAGGGAGGTTGGTCAGGGAGGATGGGTGGGGGTATACTGCAACCATCTGTGATCAAGTCGTGCCAGGGACAATTGTAGCATTTTAGCTAACCCTTCCCATAACCCTTTTCCTAACCTTAACCTACTTCTCCTAACCTTTGTCGTTAACATTTTAGTAAATTCTCCTAACCTTTGTGGTCAGTTCTCCGAACAAGCAGCCTGGTCTCAGAGAAAGACATATAATACTATATGTCCTTGAAGACGTATGATAAATAACATCATCCAATTCGTATGATATTGTACGACCGGGTAAGACATATGTTACTATACTCCTCCAATTCGTATGATATTGTACGAACACTATTGCTTTCATAATGTAATGTAACATAATGTGAGAGCAGGTTTCCCACTGGTCATTTCCCACTGGGCACAAACTGGTTGAATCAACGTTGTTTCAATGTAATTTGTCAACGTATTGTGACGTGGAATCTACATGGGAAATACATAATGTCATCATGGTAAATTTCAACATAGACAAACCTTGTATAAAATATGTTGAATGTGTACCTTTAAAACAACATTAGATATTAAATGTTACAGTGCCTTCAGAAAGTATTCACAACCTTTGACTTTTTTACAGCCTGAATTTAAAATGGAATAAATTGAGATTGTTTTGGTCACTGGCCTACTAACAATAACCCCATAATGTCAAAGTGGAATTATGTTTTTAGAAATGTTTACAAATTAATAAAAAATGAAAAACTGAAATGTTGTCAGTAAGTATTCAACCCCTTTGTTATGGCAAGCCTAAATAAGTTCAAGAGTAAAAATGTGCTTTGCAAGACACATAATAAGTTGTGTAGTGTTTAACATGATGTTTAATGACTACCTCATCTCTGTACCCCACACATACAATAATCTGTAAGGTCCCTCAGTCGAACAGTGAATTTCAAACACAGATTCAACCACAAAGACCAGAGAGGTTTTCCAATGCCTCGCAAAGAAGGGCACCTATTGGTAGATAAAATGTTTAAAAAAGCAGACATTGAATATCGCTTTGAGCATGGTGAAGTCATTAATTACACTTTGGATGGTGTATCAATACACCCAGTAACTACAAAGATATAGGCATCCTTCCTAACTCAGTTGCCGGAGAGGAAGGAAACCGCTCAGGGATTTCACCATGAGGCCAATGGTGACTTTAAAACAGTTATAGAGTAATGGCTGTGATAGGAGAAAACTGAGGATGGATCAACAACATTGTAGTTACTCCACAATACTAACCTAATTGACAGAGGGAAAATAAGGAAGCCTGTACAGAATAAAAAATATTCCAAAACATGCATCCTGTTTGCAACAAGGCATTAAATTAATACTGCAAGAAATGTGGCAATGCAATAAACCTTTTGTCCAGAAACAAAGTGTTATGTTTGGGGCAAATCCAATACAACACATTACTGAGTACCACTCTCCATATTTTCAAGCATAGTGGTGGCTGCATCATGTTATGGGTATGCTTGTAATCGTTAAGGACTGGGAATGGAGCTAAGCACAGGCAAAATCCTAGAGGAAAAGCTGGTTTCATTTAAAATTTTTATTTATTTAGCAGACACTCTTATCCAGAGCAATTAGGGTTAAGTGCCTTGCTCAAGGGCACATCGACAGATTTTTCACCTAGTCAGCTCAGGGATTAGAACCAGCAACCTTTCGGTTACTGGCACTACGCTCTTAACCACTAAGCTACCTGCCGCCCCAGTTCAGTTTGCTTTCCACGAGACACTGGGAGATGAATTCACCTTTCAGCAGGACAATAACCTAAAACACAAGGCCAAATCTACACTGGAGTTGCTTACCAAGAAGACAGTGAATGTTCCTGGGTGGCCGAGTTACTCAGTCGTGTGAATACTTATGTATATGAGATATTTCTGTATTTCATTTTCATAAAAAAAAAAAAAAGGAAACATGTTTTCATGTAAATATTTAAGCAATTTTGAATTCAGGCTGTAACACAGCCAAATGTGGAATAGGTCAAGGGGTATGAATACTTTCTGTAGGCTGGGCAGCACCTCCTGGAGAATTGATCTACAGCTACCCTTTGGGCTCTCATCCAGGGTTTTAACCAAGCCCAGCCCTGCTTAGCTATGGTATTTGTTATTGACTATTAACAATGTGCTATCGTGAGAATGATTGTTGCGAGATCTCCACTTAAACACTAAATAGATTCACTGTTGCTATTGAAATCATTCCAAAGGGTAGGTTTAACAGAGCAAATGAAATGTGACAATACTTTATCACTCATATATCCTCAAAGATGCTATTTAGGCCTATATAGCATTTGCAAAGTCATCAACAGCTATTGTTTCAATTCAACACAGAATTCAACAAAAATAGACAATACAATAGGGTTTCAAGCTCTGGTTGATTTAAAATGTACTCAACCAAATATCAACATTTGAAGGAGATGTATTTTCTGCTTGATAGTTCCATCTGTGCCACTGACTTAGTCTGGCTTTAATTCTAGTTTGTCTACAAATTAGTAATTTATATGTTGGATTCACATCTCCATCTCAACCTAAAATCAAAGTAAAAATATAGGACTAAATTAAATCAAACTTTATTTTAAAATACTTTTTTTCTTTTGGATTTTTGGTTTAGATGGAGACATGAATCCAACATATCAATTATTAATTTGTAGACAAAAAATAAAATAATCAGTGGCACAGATCCAAGCAGAAGATAAATCACAAATTATATGTTGGATTCACGTCTCCAACTCAACCAAAAATACAAGTTAAAGAATGGGTTTAAGCCAGTGGCTCAGATGGAATTATCCAAGCAGTAGATTAATCTCCTTTAAATGTTGATATTTGGTTGTGTTGTCAACCAAATACAATTCAATATACATTTTGTAATACAGTAAATAGCCTAAAGTTAAGGCTGTCTTCCAAACTAATGTAACATTTATCCTTACAATTAGTCACACATCCATAGCCACATGTTGAGGCTACTGTAACTATAAATGTGTTCTTATGTAATCATATAACACTTGCATGTTCATGATAGCATGCATAGGTAGTCGCACGTCTGTGGAGATCTTCACAATTGCTGTAATAATCTGCACCGAATCTCGAACTCCATTGATCAATTGCACTATGCACTTTTGATGTAATCTCAACTGCAATTCAGGTAATTTGGTTCTGCTATGAATCACATTGATAGCATATTAATCTGTTGAACAAATAAACAAAATATCTGACATTGTATTTCCATTTGAACTTTGCTGTGCCTTTAAATGGTTGAAAGCACAATGATAGCACATTGGAAATTCAACACACTTTTGGCTGTCTTTTTGAGTGGGTGAATATAGGTTGTAATCTCATTGATCAACGTCTCAACCAAATATTACCCAATCACCCACGGTGAAATTATGTGGTGTGCCCAGTGGGTTGTCATTTTTAAAGAAGAATAATCACTAATTTATTGTATTAGCTGCATTTAAAGACATTGAAACAATTGTTGGAGTGTGAAAAGAATAGCTCTTTCTAAAGTCATTCAGTAACTTATTTAATTCATACTGTTAATCAG